GAGAGTTAAAGCGTGTCTTCTCCTCCCAAGTACGGACATACCAACAAGAGCAAGTAGAGAAAGGGCACAGGGAGCGCAAGAGGAAGCTCACTACGAGCTTCGCGTACCGCAAGAAGCACAAGAAGGACATTGTCTGGCTTTCTAGGTGTTCGACTCCGGTGTACTGTAGAGCTTTGCATAGTGTCAATGTTGCGCCCCACCTTGTCTTACACAAACCGCTGCAGCACCGTCGGACCTGTGCAGCCTTCTTCTTGCAGCGTGCGTGACTGTTTTTTTGGGTACATAGTACGGCAGCAATGGATTTTATTTTCATTCTCACTCCACCCCCCCTTTCCCGTCCCCTGTACCCACCACGTGTTTTTTGGTTGTACCGTGTGACTTGTGTGGTGCTTGGGTGAACATTTTCTGGTAGCGTGTGTGACCTTTTTTTTTGGGTACATGGTATGGCAGCAATGGGTTTTGTTTTCATTCCCACCGCCCCCCCTTCCCCGTTCCCTGCACCCACCACGTGCTTTTTTTGGTTTTACCGTGTGACTTGTGTGGTGCTCGGGTGAACATTTTCTCGTAGCCACGTGCTTTTTTTGGTTTTACCGTGTGACTTGTGTGGTGCTCGGGTGAACATTTTCTCGTAGCGTGCGTGCCCTTTTTTTCGCGTACGGACTACGGCAGTAATACTTTTTGCTGCAGACCCCCCACCGTCCCACGTGTGGTGGTTTTCTTGTTATGCATGCATATTTGTGTCCACCTGCCTGTCTTTACGGTCTGGGAGGCATGCGGTGTATGCAAAGGTCGTCGCACAAGGGGGAGGTGGTCTTGCAAGACGGGTCTTCTCAACTGCAATTGTAGAAGGCGTCAAGAGGGATTCTATCCCTGACAACGAACCACAATCATTTTCCACCAGTGTAACGGTGACACGAAATTTCAATCAGCAAGGGGGCACAGAAGGGGCACCCCGAAGGATTCAGCGGTACGTTGCAGCACATAGGGCACCGATGCTGGTCACACACACGCAAGCGACACAACCGGCATAACAGGGTCGGGGGAACAGGGTGCAACAACGTCTTTACTAATAACGTGCGGAAGGGGGGGGGGGCATGACAAGCATTACTGCCGCAGCCCACACGCAAAAAAAATCACAACCGTTTACAAGAAAAAAAAACACCCAAAGATAAGGCATGTCTGACGGTGCAAACCTCATCTTTACAATAAAACTTGGGCACAAGGGGACCGAGGGGGAGAGGGCATGACAAGCATGGCTGCCGCAGCCCATACGCAAAAACACAACCGTTTACAAGAAAAAACTTAACACACAAAGAGAAGACATTGTCGGATGGTACAACAAAGTCTTGGTACAACAAAGTCTTTACCAAGAAAACGTGGGGACAAAGGGGGGGGGGAGGGGGCGTACTCTTTATGTTTTGCATGCCTTAGCGGTTAGACCATTGACCACGCGTCCTCGAGAGGACGGAGCATTGTTCCCACAGGACCGATCACCGAAGGCCAATCGTTCCTTTCTACTTTGCCAAAGGTGGCTCAAAAATGTCTTCCCTAGTCTGTCTATCCTAACGATACCCCTTCCCGCCTTTTCAACCCACCTCCTATGCCCCAGTACAGCTACCGTCCTTTCTTCTCTATTCCATGCCTCAAACATCTCCCTGTACGTTCCATCTATTTTTTCCAGCTCAGTCACGTATACTTCCCTCTCCTTCTTGTACCACGGACGTTCCGCGACTACATGAACACGGTCTTCGCATTCGAAGCCGCAATCACATTTGAACTCGTCGTCTTCCTCGTCTACCGTCCTATGTCTTCGTCGACGTTCTCGAAGGCCTATGTCCCCGGTCCTGAATTTGACCTTAAGCTTTGTTCCTGCATCCATTGGTCCATGTAGGTAGTCCTTGAACCCTATTCCTTCCTTCAACATTCCGTACACTTCTAGACCCTCCTT